TCAGCAGAAGCCAGGAAAACAACTTTGTAGTAGTCAGAATGTTATCCTAATGTATATTGTTTACTTTATTGTAAATAATGGTGAGCAGTGGTCAATAAATAGTTTTATATTCCTTTAAAAAAAAAAAAAGAAAAAGGACAAACGTAAACTTACATAATTTCTGAGTGTAGAAAAAAAAACTAATGTTACAGTAGAGGATACAACCTGATGCTTATAGGGTGAATTGGGCTCAGAGGTATATTTTCTTTTTTCTCTTTTTGTCTTTTTAGTAACATAAAATGATTTTCCATATTTATAAAATACGGTATAATCCATATATTTCATACATGTATGCAATAATAGTACCAAATGAGAGTGACTAGCATTTCTGTTTCCTTAAACACTTATCATGTGGGGTGTGTGTGTGTGTGTGTGTGTGTGTGTGTTAGGAATCTCCAAATTCCTCTCTTCCAGTTCTTTACAAAATATATAACAAAGTTTTTAAAGTCCAGTCACCCTGCTGTTATAAAAACCAGAATTTATTCTTCCTGTGTAACTTAATTTTCTCCAATTTCCCTCTGTCACTCTCCCAGTTACAATTCCTTATCACTATTCTACTTCCTACTTCTATGAAATCTACTGTTTTAGCTTCCCCATAAGCATGGTGTACTTGTCTTTCCGTGTGTTGCTTAGTTGATTCAATGTAATGATTTCTGTATCACCCAAGTTGTTGAAATGACACGATTTAGTAATTTTTTAATGAATTAATAGTATCCAATGGTGTGTATATATCATTTTATTCATCTAATTCATCTTGGAAAACTTCAGTTGTTACTACTTTTTAGCAATTACAATATTGCCACATAAAAATCTAATTTTCTGACTTTTCCTGAAACTCAGAATTTGATTAAAATGTGCATATCCATAGGACAAAATTATCTGGATCTAAGTAATGGCATTCCTCTTTAAAAAGAGCATGAATTCTCAAATTCTACACAATAACCAAATAACTTATTAATTCATTGGTCACTATTCCCTGGACACTTAAGGCATTTGTTTGCAGCTTCCAAGATAAAGAAAGGTAGTTAATAATTTTTCTGAGTGATGAAAAGGAACAAACCAGAGTTGTCCAAAGAAAA